GTTGTTGTTGTTGTTGTTGTTGTTGTTGTTGTTGTTGTTGTTGTTGTGTTCATTGGTGATATTGGGAAGTTCGCAGGCAAATGAGAGGGTGCCAAACGGCAGCTTTGAAACCTTGGCAAGGCCACGGCCACAGGCCTTGGAGGGTTACAGCCTTGGTCCATGTTGTTGCGTTTTGCGGTTCAGCCCATGTTGACAAGGTCAAGCCCCCGCAAAAATCCTGCCAGAGTACTGGACAAAGGTCAGCGTTTCACCCGGTTCCACCCTTAGGCCAGGCTAAGCCGGGGTCGGCGGATGCCCAAATCCTCGAAGCAAAACGCTTGAGTGCTGGTCAAGCCGGTGATTAACTTAAACAAAAACCATGGTTGGCAATGATCGGAGTATGACCATCCATGATCCACCCCTTAGTCAGACGGATCCGTCGCGTCGCGTCGGCGGAGGAAGTCCTGGAAGAAGCCGAAGCCTCGGTCGGTCATTCGGCTCCACCAGGGTGTGGCGTCCCGATGCCCGGAGCCTCGGCCCCCACCGTTGGAGGCTTTGGGGCTCCTTGACGGCTGAAAAAACAACGAGGTTTCAAAGGGGTTTCGGAAGATTCCGGTGTTTGTAGGGTGTCACCGTAAGGTTTGCCATCCGGTCTAGAGCCAGCAGAGCACAGATGTGCAGCTAGTAAGGTGCCGTACGGTTGCCGCAAATTGAAACTGTCAGCTTTCATGGCAGCTGGGCCCAAAGATGTTGAAGAAGGCAGATACTTCGGCCGTAAGCACACTGTAAGGATAAAGGTTAAACACCGCTCAGGTCAGGTCCTCAGGGGTGATTGGCACCCACCATTGGGAAGCGTTTTGCAGTGGATCCAGTCTGGGTCTGTTTTTTTCATGGGTTCATGGAAGAAATGGAGGGATGTTTCCACCCTGGTCGGGGTTTGATCTACCTTTCTGGACCCTAAGCCTGGCTCCGCGGTCCGGGTCCCCTATGTGTTGACCAAACACACTCAGACCCGAGGCCTGTAAAAGGCAAAAGGTCACGTAGCAGAGACTCCAAAGAGGTCACCGGATGGTCCACCTCCCTGGACGGGCGTGCCCGTCCCCCGTCCCAAGGCCGTCGTTGAAGGAGAAGAAGAGCGATGGAGCGGATCTGAACCAGAACCGCCAGCGGAAGGCCTCCATGACGTTTTTCCATGTTTTTTTTTCCTTCTCCGAAAAGCAACAGAAAAAGTCATCGACATGATGCATTAGGGCCACCATGTGAAATGCGTTCGGCTAATGCTCGACGTATTTGATTCTTTGATTAAAATACCAATGGCATTTCCTCTAGTGGATGGGGTCGAACTACCTCTGTATAACATGTTTTGTAGTGGCACCCCTCAAAAAAACATTAACAAGGGTTTTCTTGATTTTATTTGTCAGTTTGCCGTGGTGTGTCTTGGCCTTTGAAGAAGCGTATCAAACACAAAATACTTCAGATACAGAATTGTATTTTCTTGGACAATCTTTTGTGCGCAATTGCGTGGATTGTGTGAATAGTTAGTTCCTCCTGCGTCCATTGCGTACCTGAATCCAGAATGATGCACGATGATGCAGATTCCGTTTCAAGGTGCAGCTAGGGTTTCTTAATTTTTGCAGCAAGTGTCCGTGGTCCGTTGAGAACTTCCATGGCATCGCTGCGGGAGACGAAGGTGGGCGGATGGTGGAAGCGGCCTGTGTCTCGGCGGAGTGTCCGGCGGGTGTGGGTCCTCAAAAGTGCTTCATAGACCCCACTGCATACAGAAGGGGTATTAGAATATATAGTTATATATATAGACCCCACTTCATATACCCCACTGCATAGACCCCATCATTAGAATCATTTTCAAATTTCACCAATTGTATGTTATTTGAACTAAGCTGTTGGAAGCATCGTTCGCCACGAGTCTCGGAAGGACACTGGAACTGCAAGGGCGCGGACACTTTCTAGTTTGGAAGATTCAATGATATTCACTACTAAACATTATATAACCATCCAGCACCTTCCAAGGGGTCACCAATGGAAGCCCCTACACTATGTAGGGATCTTCATTGGACACCCCTTGAACATCCATGATCATTCACCAAGTTCCGTGTGAATTTCCAGATGCAATTTCTTGCCCAGATGGGTTGATGAGTGGATGTCTCTCGCGTCAGGTGATGGATGAGAGCCCCACCGATCGTGGGAACCTTGCGAAAGCCAAGCGACGCATCAAGCAAGAGCAGCAGAAGATCCAATTGCCCCGGAGCAGCGTCATAGCCGGGCGCCCGAAACCGAATCGTAACCTTTGGTTGGTTGGTTGGTTGAAACCGTCAACTTAGGCACCATTCAACATGCAGTGTGTCAGTCAGGCATAGGTAAATAAACACGATTTGACCGCGCGCTTTGTGGGATACATCAGGGCTGATGAGCATGCGATGCAACCTAACGATTTTGGCCCAATGGAGATACGCGCGTTTTCGACAAAGCAGAAATTCACTCATGTTTTTGCATGTTTAGACAAGGACTTTTTCAGCGTAACGTACCTGGCCCGGAGCTCGCTCCAGTGGGATCTTTCAGTCCCGTGGGGGTTCCCCACGTGCCTCGAAAGCGGGGCAAAAACACCAGGGGACAGGTGGAAAGCGGGCGGACTGAACGAGAAGATCCTCGTGGCACCAAAGAGACAACTCCAAGCTACGAAAAAGAGACCATGTTGCCATACGCCCGTGGAAAAAACATTCTCGGACTTGGGGACCTGCCAAAGCTACAAGTGGTCTGGGAGAAGTGAAAGGGATCAAGGTTTGTAGAAAGCTACAGTTAGATGCAGCGAGACCTCACACTATCGATTTGACTTTGCGATTCTGAGCCTCCATGGCAGGCACCAAAGAGTGAGCAGTGGGTATTGGTGAAACACCGAAACTGACTGCTTGCAAGATCTGGTAAGTACAATTGATGCCTTTAATCGCTCAATACATGACCTGAATTGACCTGACATATTCGTTTTCCGGACCACCTTTTCGAGCTTTATCAGCAGTTTCAAGTAGTTCCCGGTCCAGCGACAAACACTCTGCGGAACCACCGCTGTCCCGGGTTTGGCATCCGCAGCTCCGGTTTCAGAGGCGAGAATTCTTGAAGCAGAACCGCTTCCAGGGGGTGGATGTTTCCAAAGATGGAAAGCTCTATCCCATTCATGTGGCGGCCACTTGGCTGTAAACGGCGAACAAATAGAACCCAGAAACTTCATGCGACTTCATCAAGTGCTCACAGTAAGAGTATATTCGATATACAGTGGTTTCAGAGTAGATGACACAGACCCCAAGATGTCCTTTAGATGGGGGTCCATATAAACCACCTCTTGGGGTCTGTGCCATCTACTCTCAATCCACTATATAGTATCAGTATATCAAAAGACGGTGCACCTGTGAAGACCTCCGTTGGGTCACCTTTTTTCGAACCATATGTTCACGTCGTGTCAGGCGTCGCCCGCGTGGGTCACGTGGGTCGTCTGAAACACCCAGGGAGAGCCCCTGACCGACCCCAGGTGAAACGTCCCACACACGGCGGCGGTCACGGGGGTGGAAGTGGGTGTGGATGAGGATCCTTTTCGGGTCACAAGATGAGTGTCAAACAGGTGAAGAAGGGTGAACGCGGTTTAACGTGCTGCATTCACGTGTAGGACAGAAGTGAATCATTTTCATGTTTTCTTCTGAAAGGGTGGGGGAGGAAATGGGATGAGATGGGATGCGGATTGAAAGGAATCCTTTTCATGTCTTTTCATTTCATTTTGGTGTTCACCTGGCAGTTCAACAGTGTTGCGGATTGAAACCTCCATTGATGCCTGGTGAAATCTGAAATCCTGATGACCATCCGATCTACTTAGCACATCGCTGAAGCAAAGATTGCAGAACTTCCAGTGACCTGGTATTTTGACAGTAAGTTGAGACCCTAAATTCATGAAATCATCCCCAAGTCCATCCCCAATCCATGTTCTTGAGGCCCATCTGGGCGATTTCGACCTGGTCCGCTTGCTCCTGCGCGCCGGCGCGGACCCAGAGCAGGAGATCCCGGGAAGCGGAGGTGGAGGCGGGCCTGGCCGTGAGTACTCAGAGAGCAGGCGGCCTTGGGGGGAGGGGGCCGAAGCAAAACTAATGCAAAAATAGTGTTTGTGATTGTTGTAAGGTGTTTCGGGGGGGTTGAGTGCAGTTGTTTTAAACATAATTCTTCTGGTCCCTGCACCGTCCGATCCTATTGGGGTTCTGTGTGACTTGGAACCCATCAGCCCATTGACATGTCTATTTGTTTGACATGTTCATTTTAGTTGCTACACTTTAAGCATCACCCGAAATCGATACTCAGGGGCAAAGCCATGATACTTAGCGTATCTTACTAAGAACCCTGATCGGATGGATGTCACACTCGATTCAATGAGACCTCGGTGCAAACAGGAGAGACCTCGGTGCTGTGACAAGGTTCTTCTAGAAGTTCCAGATCCATCGATATCAGGTTTGGGGGTGCGTGTCCTTCACGCCTGGTTTGACCAGCTAAACCTGTGTGGACAGTCCCTTCATCATCTAATTATGGGACACTTGCATGACTGGGAAGTAGCAAAGCACCGTGTTCAAGAGAAGATCCCTTCGAGAGATGTCTTCTGGTGTTACTAGGCCTCCAGGTCTACGGCTAAACCTGGGTGAAGCTGATTGAACAGCCTGAGAGGGGCGTGCCCTCTTCGCGCACTGCGCGCGTTTTTTGTTCGCCCGAGGCAAAGCGATTGACATCGCATATGCCGCGGATGTGATGGGATCACACCAAAAGATCATCGATCTTCTTCAAGCGCCGGTGAAGATTCTGCCCGTCAGGGGTCTTCGAAAGCTGGTGAACCAGCACAAAGTGAGCCTGTGACACAGGCTCGGTCAGAAGACGAAACAGATCTCCCAACCTGGGCAGATCTCCCAACATTCGTCGATGCACCTCCCGGTCACAAACGTCGTGCAGTTCGTCGTGACCAAGCCTGTGAGCTCGTCTTGCAGTTCAATCGAACTGCGTTCATTTCCATCTTGCTTTCTTTTCATCTTGAGCAACTTGAGAGGCTAAGACCTCCTGTCACGTTTGACGGCCAGTTGCGGTGGCCCGCTTTCAGCAAGGTTGATGACTCCTTGCACATCCTCCCATTTTCTTGCAGAAAAAACAGTTACCCCGAGACTAGGGGTTTGCCCAGCGCCAAAATTGTGCCAATTGAATCACATTGCAAGACGACAGTGTGTACTACGTCAACAGTTACAAGAAAGCCGTAATATTCCTTGATGGTTTGATATGGTTTGTTCCAGCCACACCTTTACTGCCAGCTTGTGGTTTCCTTTGACCCTCTGTTGATGGTGCCCCGGCGTTTCTGCCAGATGCATTGGAAGGTATTCTTGGACGGTATTCTTGGTCTATAAAAAATCCCCTGGTTTTGCTCTTACGGTGATTTTCTTTCTACATTGCCTATGGGATCCTATCATATCCTATCATGGTAAATCTCCTTTGGGTCTTCAGACCTTTGTTTCTTTTTTCACCGACTTCCTGGACGGCAAATCCAAGTCCCTGTTTCTTGGACGTGTCGAACCCCCTCGCCCTCGACACAAGAACGGCTGGTCAGAGGACAAAGGTAATCTTCCTTGGATTGATCGGGGTCACTGCTGAAAACACATCAGTATTTGAACTCTTCCGAACATGGCGCTGCACCATTTTCTTTTGCGCAAACAGCTGATTTGACCAATTCTGGTCTGATCATCACGAAAATCATCGAAAATCTATAGCTGCTACAGCGCTACGGTCTACGGTCCAATTATATACTGTATGTATGCTTTCACCATCTCAGCTGTTGGTGCAATGTTTGTCGGGTCCGGCTCGAGTGGGTGTCTCACAAAGACTTCATTCAGCTAGGTTATATATACTGCTGTACTCAAAATATAGTGTGTGTATATAATTGTGTCGTTCTACTACAATTTGGTGCCCATGTTAATGTTCAACTGGGCTACTGCCGGCAATCGACTTGGATTTTGAAGAGCTGTGCGCGCGGCGCTGTGGGTTCAAGGTCCAACCATTTTCCATGGGTTGTTTCAGCCCATGTGAGGGAGGATCATAGTCATAGTTGCATTTGGTACGTACTTTCAAGGCACCCGAAGCTACTACGGCGGCCCCCGGTCCGTCTTTTTTGAAGCTCCCTCACATCGCTTCCGGTTGGCAGACGGGCCTTTCTGGAGGATCCTTCGGTGACTTCGGAGATGCTCCTCGAGCCCGGTCTCCGTTCGGTCTCCGTGACTCAGACGAACGCGAGAGATCCTGCGGACGAACATGGTGTTTAAAGAAGAAGAAACGTGGATTCATTTCAGCGGGCACCCGAAGCGTTCGGTTTGAATGCTTCCGCCTGCACTTTTTCATGTGGCCAGGGATCCACATTCTTTTCGGTCCAACGATTCGATCAAAGTCTCTGAAGAATGCACCGAAAAAGCTGACAAACTGGTTTTCTGATCTTGTTTTCCGATTCTGGATAGCAGAGCTCAAGAGGATTGGTGACCAAAAAGGATGATCTGCTGGCCAGCAGCCCAGCAGCTTTCCACGAGACCGTTATCATTTCCTCTTTCCTGCAAAAAGGAGTGTGGATCTTGAGTGGTGAGGGAGGGATGATGCGAGAGATGGGGGATGGGGGAGATGGGAGATGAAACATTTAGGAAGTTGCAGTTGCAGAATGCAATCAATGTAGATCCAGCCAATAGCAAGAGCCTTCAACCGATTGCAGTTTCCAACACACAGATTTTCAGCGGAGAGGAGTCGAGTCTCCGGATTTTCTTCCTGCAAGATCCACTGTGGTGTTGGTGAACCACCTTGCAGACAACCCCATGAAGATGAAAGAGGGCCCAATCTGTGGTGGAGAGAAGACATGATTTGTCTCTTCAAAGTGACCCTTTGTCAGCATCCTCTGTGGTTTTCTGAGAGCGAACCACCGAGGTCGTTCTGGAGTGACCATGCGACAAACCATTTGGTGCCACCAAGTGGTGGCCGTTATGGACGGAGTGGATAACCTCTATGAGATGACCTGTACAGCACTCACCTTGTCGAATGGATGATAAGATGACAAGGTCAGCACAACTACCTGATCCTCTTGACTTGATCGCATGTTTCTCTGTCTCTGTCCCCCATGATCTGCATCTCTCTTACACATGAAACCGGCACATCCGAAAAATGAACGACATCTTGGACACCGCTGCGACGTCTGGTCCCAGGGAGCAGGCCGACCTTCGTTTCGCGCGTGCGACGGTGTCGCCGGCGGCAATGGCCCCACGTCGCAGCGGGTCGCAAGCGCTCCCGGGAGAGCTCGTCTTCCATCCCTGCGTGCCGGAGCACATGGAGTGCTCCACACAGGTGGAGCTGAGTGAGTCTGAGGCGGGTTCGGGCAAGTGCATGTTTTTTGTCATGTCCAGTTTGCACTTGCCTAGGTTCGGGAGAGCGGGTTCGGGCGAGCGGGGGGAGGGTCCTATCTCTTCGATCGTGTAGAGTGTCCGAGTTTGATCGAGAAAGATTTGCAGCTATGTTATCATCTATTTTTCAGACAGTTGGGGTCCTGGTCATGTTGGATCTATTTGAGAAAGGTATTTTCTCACATGACATGGTTCTGAACATATATATTTTTTAGTTTTCTAGGATCAAGCTGGTTAAAGATGTTAAGTTGGCCCCAGCTTCGATGTTGACACCTTTTGCAGATGTGAAGATGCACCTTGAAAAAAACATCGAAAAGGAATGGGACGACCTGCTTGATCCGGTCACTGCCCCAGCCTTCTGGAGACCCAGTCTGGACCCGAACACCGGTGAAACCGGGTCGTTCGCTGTCGTTCCGGGGGAAAGCGACCACCGGGCTTCGGTTCTGGGCAGCCCGGGTCTCTTTGTTCCGGAGGTCGAGGATGAGGATCCCGAGCCGAAGTCCACCGGATCAAAGGTGAAGAGGGACATCAAGAGACAAGTTCAAGCGCAGATCTTGCACCTGGCCAGAGCAGCCAGGGATGTGCACTTTGGGGGTTGTGGTGATTGTGGGCATTGTTGAGGGGTGGGAGGTGTTTTTCTTTCTTCCCGGTGTGATGGGGTTCGGAGTCTACGGATCCCTTTAGAAGACCAACAGACTGTCTTTATCCCCCGTTTGAGGGCCTGAGGGCCTTTTTGAGGTGGTGAGTTTGTGACAGAGAGATGGCTGTTGGCAACCGGACAGACAGAGGCTAGCTGAGAGTAGGCTCAATCATCACTTTCCTGAACCAAGCACAACTTCAGGTTGGCCCCGTACACAGGATCACGTGGAGCATCAATTTGTATTCCGATGTATTCCGTGCGTACAACATCGTACAACATCAATTCCAAGCGACCTGATGGCTTGGCAATTTTTCAGGCAGACCTTCCTGAAGAAGCACAAGTTCAAGCAAGATGTCAACCAGCGAAAACGCAGTTCGGGCGGCTGCCTCCTCTTCAGACCTTCTGAGGAATTCTGCCCGATCCACCTGGCAGCTCCTTGGACGAACCTCCGTGGGGTTGGGAGGTTCTGGGAAGGACTTCACGGATTTGACAGTGAGTTTCACGGGGGTGTCTCTTTTTGTACTATATATATACAGGAAGATTGGCATGGAATCTGAAAACCACTGGTTTGTGGAGGAAGCTAGTGTTGCGAAGGTCCATGCCATATCATCATATCATGCCATCAGTTTCCGTGTGAATCTGCCCAAGCTGTGATTTGGCAGAACGCAATCCGTTGAGAACACGACCTTGCTGGTCAACGGCCATACGTTCTTTTTGAATGGGTCATCATGCGGGAGGTCAAACACATGTGTGAATTTCAGCTGTTGTAGCCAGGGTGTATTGCGTACAGTTGATGCACCGTCGCTGCTGTTTCGGCTGAACAGGGCCCTTGAGCTGATTCGCTGCTGCGAAAAGGAACTGTGCGAGATTCAAACTGGTAGCGGAGCAGGTTCTGAAGGGGCACCCTCAGGATCTGACTCACCCGGGGAGACTCGCTGGATCCGAAACCGTTGAACCCAATTGCGTGACCCTGCGCGCAATCCGTCGAACCGTTGTAATTCCAGTGCTTTGCGAAACTTGTTGAGTTGCGATGTCGCTGGCTGGCCTGCGGTACACATCCCATGGAGGAAGTATCTCAGGACCACAGGAGACGAAGAGCGGATCATATATCTACAGTGGCAATCCAAATGGTTTCTTCGAATGGGAATTTCGCACCAAGGTCCGCGTTGCTTTGCACAAGCAGAAACATGCGAAGAAGAAGTCAGAGAAGACCTATTCGAGCCCTGGAAGCCAATCAGCCACACCAGAACGTTCTCAGAGGAGGCCGACTCATGCGACCGAAGCTGGGGATGTATCAGAGGATGACGAGGCACAACTTGAAGCTTTTGGAACCCCGAAGTCCGAGAGCGTAGCAGGAGAAGAAGAACCAGCTCTGAGCACTGCCGGACTGGATGATGATGGAGCAGAGTATGCAACACTTGTTCACAAGGTGTTGGAAGGTCTGAGAGGTGATGCATACCTCACAGCTCAGGACATGGGATTGGAGAAGTTGTTGACTCCAACTGGCATTGATGAATTGATATCGCGTATCCGTGCACAAGTTTTTCCACTTCGACAACAAGAAGCACGCGAGTTGTTCAGAGTGGGTCAACTCCCACATGGTCCCTTGTCTCGCCAAACGACAGAAAGCATGACTAGCTACATTTCACGAAGACGTCGTTGGTGGAGGAAGCTTTTGGAGATGGATGATGGGGTAAGTCTTTCAGACCCCATGCGTGGTGAGCTACTTCTGGAAGGTTCTGGCTTGAGCAAGACAGAACAGCTCATGATCAAAACAGCTGCAGGCGACAACCAATCCTTTGACGTCTACGCCAAGTTCTTGCTTGAATTCCATGGACAGATTCACTTGCGCAGCTGGTCCGCTTTTGGTAACACGAGCACTCGGAGGCAGAAAGGCGGAGGCAAGTTTTCAGGCAAGTCTTCCTACAAAGGAGGAAAAGGGCGCAGTTGGCAAAGATCTGCGTACATTGTTGAAGATGACTCATGGGATTATGAAGATTCCTATGAGGCAGAAGCAGAGGACGACTATGAGCATGAAGCTTATGTCGCAGCAGAAGATGAAGAACCAGATGATGAAGAACATGAAGACTATATCGAAGACCCTGAAGTTGCCGCAGCGTTGATGGCAATGGGAGAGTGTGATGATGAAGAAAACGATGTTTCAGAGGAACTGGGCAGCGCAGCCCAGCATCAAATGATGGCCTTTGTCGTGACTGACCAGTTGAAGGGCAAGAGCAAAGGCAAAGGTAAAGGTTCAGGAAAGAAAGGTGGAAAGAGCAAGGGGAAAGGCAAGTATGTGTTCAGGACACAGTTGAGCGTGCAAGACAGGATTGCACGTCTAGCAAAGTTGAAGTCAGTGTCCAAATGCTTGCGTTGTGGAGGAAAAGGACATTGGGCAGGAGACCCAGCTTGCAAGTTCCCCAAGCAGAACGACAAGTCCCCTGGAGGAACGTCGTCGACGAGTAAAGCCACAGCCTATTTTGCATTGAGTGATGATGAGTCTTCTGTTGAAGGTGAATACATGTGTGTTGATGTCAGTGGTCAAACTGTCGAAAATGGTACGTGCTACATGGCATACAAGATGTCCCCAAAGAAGAAGCTTGAGTTCGAACCGTCAGACCGTGCATCCATGTCGTCAGGAGTGACCAGCAGCCCACCGTCTAGCTTTTCGATGGTCGAGCCAAATGTCCGTCGGTCGCCGCAGAAGTCCCCGCCGGTCACGCGTAGGAAGAAGGACATGGAACAAGACTTGTTGCCTGAAGGTTCGCAGAATGTCTTTGTGTTTGGTCAGCACCAAGGTTTGACATACCATGAAGTGTTGTTCAAATATCCTGGATACTATCAATGGGGATCAGGCATTTCGCACCCTTCGCGTTGTTTGGCAGATTTTCTGACCTGGGTGACCACGTACTATGAAGTCAGTCAGGATGGAGACGTAAGCCTGAGAGAGCATCCATTGACAGATGTGCCAGTAGAAGCAATTCGACGTACTGGAGACAAGAGTGCCAAGGGAAAACCACCAAACCCCCCGCTAGAGGAATCATGTCGTCGTTGCACCAGATTCACATTTCAAGGTTCAAATGCCTACGTTGAGAACAAGACATGCCTTGACTGCGGAAAGAATGAAAGAAAGAAGAAAGAAAGCAAACCTTCGGCCGACCCCGCAAAATGCAAGCATGAGGTTACAGATCGTCGAGGCAGTTCGAAAACCACGTCTCGTTGGTACTGCAAGTTGTGTGGAACCACTGTCGACGAGATGCCCCGAGAAGAGGCGCGTAAGAGAGAGGCAATGGCAAAGAGCATGGTAGGCATGCGCACCAATGCATTCGACACGACAGCATCCATGATTGAGAATGAAATCAACGATGCATGTATGTCAGCTGAAGGAACTCTAGAGGTTTTGGAGATGTTTCGACAAGAGGTTGAGTGTGAGTTAGAATTTGGCGAACCCGTGAGGGTTGGCGTCCTGTTCGAGATCCTTGCCAATGCCGTGGAGGTCATCAGAGAGGCCGCACCGGAAACTTGCTACATGGGATTGTTGTCGGATCTCAATGAAGCCACAATTGAAAACACACTTCGTCTTGTTGACATCATGGAAGACCCTGGAGTCTGGGCTGTGTTGGATGAAGGATGTAATGCAACTGTGTGTGGACAAGCATGGATCCAAAACGCCAAAGACAAGTATGCACGTCTTGGGTATGATGTAGCTGATTTGCAGTGCGACTCAAAAGCTTTCCGAGGACTCGCCGGAGACACCAAGACTTTGGGCAAGTGTCGAATTCCATTTGCTTTGACCTTTTTGGACCCCGAGACGAAACTTCCGGGAGTCATGGAAACGCATATTGTTGATGGAAAGATTCCATTGCTTTTGTCACAGCATGCTCAAGCTGCATTGCATTTCACGAAATCTATGGGTGATGCCAAGTGCTATGTAGGAAACGAAGAACTTGAACTGTGCAGAGCTAGGAACTCAGGACTTCTATGTGTGAACCTCTCAGAAGGCCTCAAGAGCCTAAAGTCCAAGAGACTCCCAAAGCAACTTCGAGAACTAAAGAACACGGATTATGGCATGAGCTTCAACATTCGTCCATCAGACCAACTGATTGCATTCATGGCTGACGAAGAGCGCCCGACAAGAGGCACTTTTACGTTGGATGACCCTGCTTGTGTGCATGTCTTGACGTGCGGAAAGGAGTTCAATGCCCAGATTGCGAGCTTTGATCGCAGCAAGAGCTTGATTACATTGGGACCCATCTTGGCACAATTTGACCCCGGGAGGCGATTGTTGATCTTTGACTGCATGGGATTTGGAGATCCTCAACACGACCCGCAGTTGCGATCTCACGTCGGTACACATCCGGAAATCATTCGAGGGATGACTGGCAGCGAGAAGACGATGGAAGCATTGCTATATGGACTTCATCACCTGAAGGCTTGTCATGAAAAGGGACAACAGCTGGCTGTCATAGCCTACTGCAGGCGGAACAGACACAGATCTGTATCCTTTGGTTGGTTGTTGGCAACGGCATTCAGCAAGCTATGCCCGAGAGCTCACTTGACCTTGACGCATTCCAACCAGGATCATTCCTGGAGCCAGATGAGCGGCACATGCAAGGGCAAATGTGCGATGTGCACGCATGAGTCGCATGATGCTTTGGAAGCAGCCTTGGGGTCAAGGGACTATGTCTTGAGGCAGTTCGGGTTGAAGGCGACTCCAACATACAGTCATGTTGGCTTGGTGGTATTCGATTCAGAAGTGGAATCCCGAGAGAGCGATCGAAGATCCCAGGCACCAGTCGGGTCCAGAGTACTACCGCCGCCGCCATGTCCGAAACGACCACCAGTCCTCCGACCAGCGGTGGTAAAGTCGGCGAGTGTTGCGAAGGCGCCAGTCCCCGTGCCAAAAGGGACACACACCATGTCCCATAGAGGACCAGGATCCGTGAGGGCAGCATCACCAGACCCACAACTCGCTGCAGCAACACCCAAGGCACCAGCACCTGAAGCACCAGCAGCCGAGGCATCAGCACCCGAAGAAGAGAGTCGGTACAATGAAGATGCTGAACTTCGTCGTCGTGACAAGGCCGAGATCTCAAGACAGGCAGAACCAAGGGGTGAATCAGTCGCTACAAGTCAGCCTGATGCCGCGACACAGGCCTTGCTACAGACTGTCGAGTTGTTGACACAGCAGGTGAAGCAAATGCAGGAACGAGAGTACGAGAGGAGACGATCACGTTCAAGAGACAGACGCCGAAGAGAGCGATCAGACAGCCGGGACTATCATCGTGGAAGAAGACGTGGCAGTAGCAGAGGATACCGGCGTGGAAGGAGCAGAAGCTTGTCGAGGAGAAGGTCACCTTCATTTGGTCGCATTCCGACACCTCCAAAGCTGATCCCGAGAGAGCCGGAAGGACCGCCACCCAGATGGCAT